GAAAGAAGATGTAGAGATTTGAATAGGAATAATTGATTAGGGTATACCACGAGAAGAAAAAAAAAAATTATTTTAAGGTTTAATATGAATTGTCATTATTAGTAAATTCACATTAAGATATAATAGGAATTAAAATTTATAAATTTAAATTGGGCGTACTAAGATATTTTTTGGGTTCAAATAGAATGCCCCACGCGTGTATACAGAGTATATAACTCATATACTAATTGACCCATCAGTTTTTGGTGCATTACTCTAGCAGTTTTGCAGGAGAAATAACCTGCATTTGGTGGCAGCCTTGATGGCTGGAGGCTTCTCCTCTCTCCTCCATTGTGTATAGAAAAAGGCCCATCTTCCTTGGTTTGTTATAGAATTTTTTTGGCTTCCAGATATACAGTCAGTTTGCTTGTGCCTATAATTTTTCGTCCTGTATGAGAGAGTGCTATCATTGTCGGTTTGCCAAAACTATCAGAAGGTGCTTCTACGTTAGCTAGTTTAAATTGTCGTATTCTGGGAGATAGAAACCGACGTACCTCCAGCACTCACGATGAGGCGGCTAATTTATTTTTAGAAGACTATGGTATTACACAGGGTTCAGTTTGTGCTTTATTTACCATTTTATTGTATTGTGTATTTCTGTGCAATATCATTGTAAATTCTAACATATTTTCTTAGTCTGTAACTTAATTTGATTAATCATAAATCTATTTATTTTAGTTAATTACATTAATATGTACAACAGTCTCACAATGAAAAGTAATTGAAATTCTGATAAAAAAAAATAGAAAAGAAATGTAATTGAAATCATCAATAAAAACTCATTTTGTAGATATATAAATACGTTAATTAATTAATCACTCAGCCATAATGCTAAAATTCAAGATGATTTCTTTGGACTTTACTAGAATTTGTTGATGTTTCCGAAGATTTACTTCACTAGAATTTGTTGATGTTTCCGATTAAATCTTATCGTATGTAGATGTTCCATATGAATAAATTCTTATTCCATTCTTCCGGCAAAAAAAAAGTGTAATTTATTCCAAGTCACAACATAAAAAGCCTATTTTTAATATCTTTGATTGATACCATACCAAGATTCATGTTAATCTATTTAATTTTTTATAATTTAATTACATTAATATATAAATTTGAAATTTAATTCATTTTAATTTCCATCTATATACGATTTATCTATTTAGACATATATCTATCAGATTGTAGTCTCATGTACCAAACATTTCCATATCAACCCATCCAATATTTTTGTTCTACAATGTGATGGAGAATAATAGCTAAATGTTTTACAAAATATTATTATTAAAATTCAAAAATAGTAGTGGGAAATTATACATACTTCATTTGCATTATAAGGGTATAGAACACATTTTAATGTTGAAGTTCTGTAATTGACATCACACATCACTTAATGGAAGAGGATTCCATTACTTTCTTTATCTAATCATCATCCATCAGTTGATCCAAAGATCACTACTAGAGATAATGACTAAATATTGCATTGTGACTTTTAGATCAACTACTGAATGAAAAAAAGTATTGGAGAGAATCTGAATCCTCAATAAATACTCATTTCCATGGTGAATTGATCATTCAAGCCAACAAAGCATCTTCTAAAAACCTAATTTTTCTTGGGTTGTGTTTGGTTAAAAGATTTGATAAGACGAATAAAAAGAAAAGAAAAAAAAAATTTCAAATTCAAATTTCAAGTTATGTTTGGTTGAATTGAAAAATAGAGAAAGAAACGAGGCTCAAGTGAACTTAAAAGACAAAATGTAATATTGAATTTCCCTCTCAGCTTCTTTTCCCTTGTATTTTCCAGTATAACCAAACAAAAAGTGAGATTACATTTCCTTTTTCCTTTCCATTTTTCTCATCAAATCCTCCAACCAAACACAACCATACTCATCATGATCATAGTTGTCTCTCCTGCTCCTAGTTGTCTCTCCTGTTCAGCATAGACCTAGTCATATCAGTTTTGATCTGTCTTTGGAGCCTCCAATTTCATAGTGGCAACAACTATGTAATTACATACTTTTCATCAGCCACTCCCAATCTCTTTCTCTTGATTTTATATTCTTATCTCTATGTCTCTGTTTAATTAGATATTTACATCATACTACTGGGCAGCAAATGTTTGATTTTACAAGTCCTCAAGTTCCCCTCATGTTTCATATTTGACTTTTAAATGAAGAAATTCAAATTTAAATTTAAAAAAGAAAAAAAGAAGCAGAAATCTTTTGCTAGGGCAACAACTATTTTTTACATCTTGCCCATTTTTCTTCAATTTCCACTACCAATGTTGTTTTTTAGTCTCTATTTCTTTTTTTTTCTTTTCCTTTATTTAACAAAAAAATGCAACCATTCTCTTTATCTCAATGTTTTATGGTCGCCATATTTACCTTTGAAATCAAGACAAGCTTTCCACTAATTCAAATGACTCACTAAATAAGATAGGAACATGCATTCATCACCTATAATGAAGAACAACATTTTTTTTTTTTTCATTTTGAAAATATGATACAATTGCTTCATATGCACCAAACACCATTGCAATGGAGAAATTGGATCAATCTAACATCATCATCACCGAGGCCAATTGACAAGACGAAGCTTACTCATACAGGAACAGGGCTCAACCCGGATGGAAGTTGAATGTCGGCAGCATATTTCCTCGCCCACAAGTCATAATGTATGATTTCCTCTAGGGAAGGTGCAGTCACCAACTCTGCTTGATGCTTATCACATGTAAGCTCCACAATCTTAAAAATGTCAAGGTAGTTTATCCTGAAAAACATGGAAACAACTCATAAGATACAATTTTCTGTCTCTCAAGGTATATGGAATCAAAGTTAAACAGGAAAATTGTCGATGTGCCCTTGTATGTCCAACTCATGATACACTTATGTTGAATAACATTAGCATTCGGTGTTGAGATAGAGTAGATCCTAATAAGTACTGGACTAACCAGTCAACCGAACTTCAGAGTAAGGGTATTTATGGTACTTCCGCACTTATAACCTGTTGCCCTATTTTCTATGTATTTATAGTTGAAGGGAGGCGATTATCTCTGGTAATTTCTTTGTAACATTTCTTATCATAGTGAAAATTGCAGCAATTGTGGACATAGCCCTAACAAAACCACATAAACCTCATATTCTTCAGGTGTGCGTGTGATTTATCTTTTTTGTGTGTTTATAATTTTTTGTGTTTTAACAAGTGTTACGGATTCCTAACATTTGGGACTCAACTTGATGTTTGTCTAAGATTGTCAGGAACATGAATCCTACAGGCAAAGTACATTTCAACAAGTTAAAAACTAATGAATTTATCTTCTTTCCCACATTCATGTTTGCTTTGGTCCATACTAACATAGGCTTAGGGGACAAGTACATTATCTAGGTCATAGAGCTTTCTCCAACACTTTCCCAGTTATTACATATTTAGCACGAAGGTTATTCGAGAACAATGAAAATTTAGAATTCGGAACAAATTAGTGAACGCAACAAAATGATCTCATGAGTTCATGCATGATTAATCTAAAGAAAGGAATAACCTTGAGTGTATCAACAAAATGTACAGAAATTACAAGAAACATTCACAGGAATACAAGTAAAAAGAAAATCAGGATAAATTAATTTGGTATCAACAGTCATGGGCAGATGATCAACAGCTACAACTAATGAAAATGTTTAATATATTACTCCAATCCTTGCAAGTATTTTTGAATGAAAATGTTTAATATAATATTTTTTGAATGATATATACATAAAAATAAACTTTTTGAAGGAAATTTGATGTGTTCGTGTGTCATTAAATGCAACTCTCCTTTAATTCTAACATATAAGACGCTGCATATGACCAAATATTTTCTTCACTTACAGGTCCATGGACCTTGTCTAAAACCTCCTTTAAGATGACAAGTACAAAGGCTATGACTTATTGTTGACTTCATGCTCTAAAAATGAAAAACTCATTGGCACAAAGGTGTCGCAGAAACTCAGTAAATCAAACACAATCTTGGTCCATTGAATAATCCAATGGTAAATACAGATTTCGAACAGCAGGGGTAACTATCAAGAAGCAAATTACATACTTTTCATCAATGAACATCTCTACAGCTTTCTCATTTGCTGCACTAAGAACACCTGTCATGGTGCCTCCTGCCCGACCAGCAGCATAGGCCAGATCCATGGATGGGTATTTCACATTGTCAGGAGCTTTAAAGGTTAGTGATCCAAGCCTGTAATATCCAATTCAACCATTTCAATCAAAATAAGCAAATTGATGATGAATTTAATGAATTCTATCACACTTGGTGCAGTATGTTAAAAAAGTAAGAAAATAAAAATATTGCAGTATTCTAGGTTATTAGGTTATGGACTTCATGGCCAAATAAACAGATTCATGAAATGGTTTTCATTCACTGTTGTACAAAAGGCTGGTTCATGTAGCATTGACAATGAGCTGAAGTGTAGAACTGAACACTAGCACTATCAAGTTGACAATGAGCACAACTAAAACAAGAATATTGATGATTTAGCTCCTTTTTTTAATAATAATAGATTATCGAAAAAAGGTTGCACCGGTCTCAGAATAAGTCGGGGTTTACCTGCACATCCAATTATCAAATAAATAAATAAATAATACAATGAGAACAGATTAACACTATTCCTCGTTTACAATGCAGTAAAACTTTAATTTTATATGAAAACGCGCACAGAATGACGAGGCCCATTTGGTAATCTTGTGATGAAAGAACCCAAAGCAAATGCATTATTCATCTGTCATTACCATCTTATTTTGTTTTTACAAAATGCAACTAGTTAGTTGGATGTATGAAAACAATAGCATAGTGATACTATACTTATTCTTTGATCACTTCATGAATCACAAAATTTAAACTTCACCTGAATTAAGCTGTAAAGAAAATAATATAAATTTAAAGAAATTCTTGATCACGAGTTCTATGGCTAAGAAATATTTACTTGCAAAGATCAAGGCGGGGCCAAGTAATCTCAGAGCAGTAAATCCTGTCAGGCCAAGATAATGTGTAGAGGATTGGCAAACGCATATCAGGCCACCCCAATTGTGCCAGGACAGATGAATCCTGAGAGAGAAAAAGAGATTCCACACTGTCAGATTCAAATACATGGTAGCTCAAAACTAACCAAGATAGTAAGCATAACACATGAACATAGAAAGTAACATGAACAGATGAGCCAAACCTGTGTTTCAATCATTGAATGTATGATAGATTGAGGATGAATAACAATCTCAACATCATCATATTCAGCCCCAAAAAGATAGTGTGCCTCAATGACTTCTAGACCCTGTCAATATGAAGCATTTATTACACACTGCAAAAAAACAAAAAAACAAAAAAACAAACAAACAAAAACAAAACAAATTAATCAACAAATTAACATATTTAATTGAGAAGAAAAACTTCTAAAACTCGATCAACAATCACAAATCTCAATGAACAAAATACATGTGTTCAACAACACACATACACACAAATATATATATATATATATACACATACATATATTCAAAACTCAAATCTGTGTTTAAAAAAATATGTATAACCAAACAACTCCACCAAACATGCCTTTGTCGCCTCCTAGAAGAGAAAGAGGGAGGAAAGAGAGAGAGAGAGAGAATTGATTTGTAGCTTTGCAGGAGGTGATTTTGAGCAATCATGCAATGACTTTTCGATCGACGAGGCTGTCATCAACGGCAAGAACATGAACTTCATGAGAATTGGAAGGCGATACGTCGTCGTCGTCGAAGCTTTCTCTGATCATCTCCGACGATCTCTTCCGCCGCAAAACAACACCGGAGAATCGAAAGGCAATACGTCGTCGTCGTCGAAGCTTTCTCTGATCATCTCTGATGATCTCTTTCGCCGTGAAACAACACCAGTTCTGATCATCTCTCTAATCCGAATCTCTTAACCTTTATCAACAAAAAATTGATTGCAAATTGATCAAAAATCTGACACTCACTGATTATATATGCAGAAGTTGTCTGTGGATTTAGAAATGAAGAGAGTGGGGAAGAGAGTGAGAAGAATTAGTTGAGGGTATAATAGTCATATAAAATATTTAAATAATAAATTTTGTCCTTTATGTAAGACTTTATAATTATGAGGGGGTTTAGAAAGTATAATTTTTTTCTTAGTCCTTTTAACAATGAAAGGAAGGTAAAGGGGGTTTATAGCTAAATTTCCCTAACAAAAACTGATTAGACAATTTTATCACCAAATCAATCAAACCCAACTCACTCACCTTATCAAACCACACAGGCTAAGTTAGTGTAGGATATCTATTTTTTTAACACACTCCTATATATAACCACCCTTGCAAAAAAAAAAAAAATCAAATCAATACAACTCCCCCCCCCTCCAAAAAAAAAAAATACAATGCCTCAAAATTTCGAGGCTTCAATCATTTTTCAAAGAAAAAAGGCAAAAGAAGAAAACCAAAAAAGAAACAGGCATATCTTTTTTTTTTTTGGGAGCACGGTTAGCCGTAGTTATTAACACTGTTAAAAGATAACTTCTTACGGATATTTATAATTTTCAAAACTAAATGTAAAAATTTACATTTTTATTAAATTTGAGTGAACATGTTTGTAATTTATGTTTTTTTATTTTTTTATAAAAAATTTTGACCCACCAACAAATTTCAAATTTTGTAATATTCTTTTGAACACCTGATTTAATACTAAGAGATTGTTTAGGATTTGCTTATTTGGTACATTCTTTAACTTTTTACACAATAATTGTAAAAGAATAAAAATAAAAATAAAAATAAAAAAAAGAAGAAAAAGAAAAAAAAGAAGGGTTGATATGATCCAAATAAATTCATTTATTTAGGCTTGTTTTGGAAAGTTGGCTTTTAGTCACTTTTTTTAGTTTGTAACAAAAGTCAAAAGTTAACTTTTTTGAAAAAAAATTTCGTTTGGAAAGTTGGTTTTTAATCAATGGTGAAATTACAATTCTACTCCTCATAGGTCAAAATGTATTACATGGGTAAAATTATAAATATTTTAAACTAAATGAGGGTAATTTAGTCATTTTATTATGATTTGATATCATAAACAAATATTAATAAAAAAAAACTAAAATCTATTTTTATCAACTTTTTAAATCATTTATCTAAAAAATCAAAAACTTAATTAAAAACTAAAAAATCACTTTTTACCATTTTTTTTAAAATAGGCCTTCGTATATTCTCAAACAACTCCTAAAATTTATACTCACTTTATCAAATTTAAGTCTTATCCTTACCTGACACATCATTTACAACACCAGCTTCCAATCGTTATCTCCAGCTTTGGCCACCCTCTTCATCCCCTACCCTCTCCAGTTTTGACTGCCACCATGGTAGATCATTGTTTTGAATTCGATAGTTTTTTTGCAATTAACCTCTTTTACACTACTTGGTGTTGGAAATGGTTTAGAAATTCTGAGTTAATGATAGAATTTTTTTTTAAAGTTTAGTCTATTTTTTAGGTGGATTCCGTGCTTCGATTTTCATGAGTTAAAGTGGTAACGCGTTCTATGTTGCGTTGTGATTTACGTGGTATATTTAGTTGCTCAAAACCATTACCGAGTGAATGAGAAATTGAAGCCAAAGTATGCTCCATGGAAATGAAGTTTTGGTGAAAAATCTTTAAAGGTTTGAATAAGGCTTGTCCCACATTGGTTTGGTGGGAAGTTTTGAATGGGTTTATAAGGCATATGATTGGAACTTAGGGTGTGCCCCAAGCGGTACCCAAGTGTTTTAGAGAGGCAGGTTATGGGTAAAATGGGCTACATCCATTAGACCAAAAAATCACCACACGCGCACGCCGTCGCCATCCGTTCGGTCAGGCTGGGCTTGGGCTTGGGTGCGTGGTGTGAGGATGGGCTTGTTCGGTCCAATACCTACCTTTTTGGGCAAAAAACATTTGAATTAATTCTGAAAATAAACTGGTCCGGTTTTACTGTACACCCAAACAGGGTTCTTCCCGTTTTTTATTTGTTTGAATTTTTGAACAGATTTAATCATACCTGTTCAAACAGGTTTTGCACCTGTTTAATTCAAAACCTGCAGCTACCACTACATCTATAAATAGGACAACCCTCATTTGATGTTAAACACATTCAGAAATTTCGTACTTCACATCTGCAAATTTATTCTTCATTTTGCTGCATTTAATTTTTGTAAGAAAGAGTATAAACACTTAGTGTGTTCGTTAGGCAAACAATTTGTAGTGCTGCTATTATTTATAGTTGATCATTTCATCCTGGGAGATAGACGTCCATATTCTGAAAGTACCGAGGAGAGGACGAATCTGTCTTAAAGATACAATGTCAAACACTGGACTTGATCAGATATTTATTACAAGAAATTAATCAAGTAAGTTGTTTAATTTATTATTCTGTTTTATTTGTTTATTAAATCAGATTTTAATTTTGTTTTTGTAACAAAATAAAATCTGTTTTTATTTATTTATTTCTAGTTTGATTTTTGTAATCAAACAAATTCTCTCATTTCCTTTATTTCTTTATATTCTTGTTGTTGTTTAGTACACAATAGAATTTAATCTATTTAAATACAGTGAAGATTGTCCAACAATCTTAAGACAAATTCATTTTTGGTATCTTCATTGTATTTAATTTTCTGTGATTTCATAAAGACATATTCTGGTTGGAAAAATAAATAGTGGTTTATGCTATTTGACATATAGTAGTAATATACTGTCTCTTTTCTTTGACAACTAGTAGTAATATACTGGTGTCATTAACAATTGTAGAATATTAATTTGTGTTACAGAAAATTATTGTGGTATTTTATTTTTCTAATTTTAGTAACAAGGAAAATAAATTTATTTTGTGTAATAATTTATTTTCTGGTTTTAGTAACTAGAAAATTAATTTGCGTTTTAAATTTTTTTTTCTGATTTTTGTAATAAGAGATTATGGCTACTGCTACTGAAACTGCAACTGCAAGTGGTACTCCGATTGTTACACCAACACCGGTCCTTATCCAGAACCATGTTCATGTACCAATAAATCATGGAGAAAAATCGAAAAAAATTAACGGTACCGAGTTTAAGAGATGGCAACAGAAGATGCTGTTCTATCTTACAACTCTTAATTTGGCCCGGTTTCTCCATGAAGAGGCTCCAGCACTTAAAGAGGGTGAAAGTGATCGGCAAGTTGTTGCCGTTGTAGATGCTTGGAAACATTCAGATTTCCTATGCAGAAACTACATCCTCAATGGCCTTGACAACATGCTGTATAATGTTTACAGTCCTTTGAAGTCAACAAAAGAATTGTGGGATTCTTTGGAGAAGAAATACAAGACAGAGAATGCCGGCACGAAGAAATTTGTCGTCGGTAAATTTATGGACTTCGTTATAGTAGACTCCAAAACGGTAATTTCTCAAGTTCAAAGTTTTCAATTAATTTTATATGAGATTCATTCTGAGGGTATGTCTCTAAGCGAGTCTTTCCAAGTCGCTGCTTTAGTGGAAAAATTACCACCGGCTTAGAAAGATTTCAAAAATTATTTAAAACATAAACGCAAAGAGATGACCATGGATGAACTTATTGTAAGACTGAGAATTGAAGAAGATAACCGAAAGGCTGAAAAGAGAAATGAGAAAAATCCCATTGAGTCCAAGGCTAATGTGGTTGAACAAGTTCAAAAACCACATAACAAAAAGAGGAAATTTACTAGAGATGGTCCTAAACAAGGCGACAACAATGACAACAAGAAGTTTAAAGAAAAATGCTATAACTGTGGCAAGACTGGACATCGAGCTTCTGACTGCTGCCGCCCTAAGAAGGATCATGGAAGTACAAGTACGAAGACTACCAATCAGGCCAATGTAACTGAACTAGATTACATCTCTGACGGGGTGAATGACATCAACCTCTCTGCTGTGGTGTTTGAGGCTAACTTGGTTGGAAATCCCAAAAAATGGTGGGTTGACACTGGAGCAACTCGTCACATACGTACGGACAAGAAGATGTTCGCTACCTCCAATGAGCTGCAAATAGTGAACAACTTTTCATGGGAAATTCTTCTACTTCTACTGTGGCTGGACAAGGAAAAGTGATCTTGAAGATAACATCAGGGAAAGAACTGACCCTCAACAACGTATTGCATGTACCTGACATTCAGAAGAATTTAGTTTCTGGTTCTTGTTAAGTAAAATGGTTTTAGGCTTGTTTTCGAATCTGATAAATTTGTATTAACAAAGAGTGGTATGTATATTGGTAAGGGATACATGAGTGATGGTCTCTTTAAGTTGAATGTAATGACAGTTGTACCGAAAGTTGCTATGAATAAGAATAACACATCTTTTGTTTATATTC